ATTGATTCCGCACGCAGATCATCTGTTGGGGTGTGTTCGGAGGAAAAAGAAAACAGACTGACAGACAACAGCTTAATTGCCTTGCCCGACAGAATATTGCAGTGAGTGAGTGAGTGAGTGAGTGAGTGAGGGAGAGAGAGCTTGTATCTACTTGATTACCGATTACCAGCTATCTGCACCCGCGTCGTCTCCCGGCAAGTACATACATAGGTAAATACATATTTACATCCATCCTCGCTTCCTTCCGCGCGCCAAGCCCCCGGGTCCCCCCTTCACGTACCACAACTTACCACCACCACAGCACAACCCACCACCACCACCACAACTACAACCACCACCACATCCCCCCCCCCTAACCGCAACCACGGCCTCTCCATCCCCCGCCCGCCGCCACCCTCCTCCGGCACCGTACGCACATCCGCACCGCCACAGCCAGCAACAGCAGCAGCACCACCGCACCCTGCACCTCCTCACCCGCCCGCCGTCCGTCTACGCCACCACCACCGCCCGCAGAGCCCCCGCCACAAGCACTGCATTCTCCTCGTCGTCCGAGGAGCTCCTCGAAGCTGCCTCCTCGCCCACCACCACCACCACCACCACAACAACAACAACAACAACAACAACAACAACCGCAGCAACAACAACAATCACAGCAGACGCCCGCAGCGCCCGCTCCGTCACCGTCTTCCCCCTGCAGGGCCCGCGCCTCACACACCACCACACCAACCGCCACACGCCCATGAGCTCCCGCCACACGCCCCACAACCCCGGCTCCTACCTCTCCACCACGCCCTCGTCCACCACCCGCTCAAACACCCCCATCAAGCTCCCCCTGCAGATGCCCGCCGCACCAGCCCCCCCGCGCTCGTGGCTCGGCGACCCCGACGACGTCCCACTCGACACCCTCCCCGCCGCCAAACACAACCCCACCACCCACCCCCAGCGCGCCCAAGTCCTCGTCCCGCAGCAAGCCTCGCAGGTCACCATCCCCTCCCCCGGCCCCCCCCCCCCCCACCACCACCCCCCCCGCCGCCGCCGCCGCCGCCCACCCCTCCATCGGCGACGAGGAGTCGCGCCCCGGCTCGCGCGACAGCGACTGGAACGGCACGCACCCGTGCTTCCCGCACCGCAACCCGTACGTGCCGCTCGACAGCGCGCTCTACCACACCACGCGCGTGATCCGCATCAGCCGCGACTTCATGGCCCACGGCGACCTGGCGCCCGCCTACTCCAACGTGTTCCCGGACATCCTGGAGCCGCACGTGACGGAGGAGCAGTTCCGCGCCGTGGTGGCGCGCGTGAACGGCGACATGCGCAGGGCGTATGACCCGTGGAGCGTGTGGAACTGGGTGGACGCGCTGGTGGGGCTGGCGACGCTGTGGCTGTGGGAGGAGCTGGTGGACAGCCATTGTAAGCGCGTGTTGGCGGGGGTGGAGGCGTATCTGGAGGGGTGGAATGGGGAGATGGAGAGGGCCGGGCAGAGGGCGGTGTTTGTGCCGTTGAGGAGGTCGGGGTATATGAATGTGCGTTGTCTTTTTTTTTTTTTTTCGTTTCTTGGTTCTGGCTATCTAGCTATTCCCCCCCTCCCCCCCACCCCCAGCAGCAGGGGAGAGCCGGACTGACGTACACACCACAGCTCGACATCCAGATCCCCAACCCCATGCCCGACGCCACCGACGACGACGACGACGCCACAGAGTCAAAGTACGTCGACGAGCTGGAGGAGGGGGAGGGCGCCTCCGAGACGGGCAGCACCATCGGCCCGCTCGGCAGCGAGGCCGGCCACCACAGCCTGCGCATGAACAGCATGAACGGCCGGGGAAGCAGCAGCGGCGGCGGCGGCGGCGGAGGGGGCGCGCGCATGGGCAGCTTGGGCAGCGGCGAGTACTCGGGTGAGGGTGCGGGATACCGGTGATGATTGATGAATTGAAATGGGGGTGGGGGGTGGGAGCTTTTTTCTTTTTCTTGGCCGCTGTTGCGCTTGAGCGTGGTTGGTGGGGAGGGGATGGGGGCGTGGGCGTGTGGAGGAGGGAGGGAGTGGTGGTGGTGGTGGTGGTTGGGCTTCTGTTGCTTGCTCTAGAATTGTAGCGCTTTTCTGCGTTTTCTCGTTTTCTTTCTTTCTTTTCTTCTTCTTTTGTGGTGCGAGCCTAGGTCTGCTGGGGCTTTCCGGTTGCCGTTTTGCGTTGCTTTTTTTTTTTACTTGAACTTCTTGATATCTCTGGGGGGGGGGGGGGGCGGTGTTTCGGCTTTTTTTTTTAAGGCCCTGAGGCCCTGCATTGGCTAACATACTTGTGTACTTACATACTTTACCCTTGTGCTTGCTGCATCTTTTTTCTTTTTTGTACTTTCTGCTACCTACCCCCCCCCCCCCCTTTTACTTTTTAGCCTTTTTAACACTTTATTCTCTTTTTTTTTTTGCATCATCATGTCTAGTCGTTAACGTTTGTGTCCCCCCCCCGCGCGCGCCGCCAGATAGTGTCTTTTTGTAACTACTTGCCGTTCTCTTCTTGTTCTTGTTCTGGTTCTGGTTTTTATAGCATCCTGGCGAGTGTGTGCTTCCCTCCTCCTCCCTCTTGGCAACTTGGCTGGCTGGCTGGTGGTGGTGGGGTAACTTCTTATATATCCTTTTGCTCCTTTTTTTGTTTTTTGTTTTTTGTTTCTGCATGTTGTGTTTCTTTAGCTTCGTTTTTTTTTTTTTGTGCGTGTTGTGTGTGTGTGTGTGTGTGTGTGTGTGTGCATGGCTCTTCTTCTTTTTGTTCTTTTTTTTCTTTGGGGGTTTTTTTTTTCTTTCCGTCTGTTTGGTTGTTGCTGGTGCAAGTGCTGGCTGGCCATGTAGTCAAGCAAGTAGAGTATTTCCCCCCACACACACGAGGCAAGCACGAGCAGCAGGGGGGGGGGGGCGGGCGGAAAGATCTAGAAGTGGTGTAATGTGCATGTGCATGCGTCAAGTGTCAAGTGTCAAGTGGGAAATGCCCGATCCGATATACTGAAGGCTCAAATTCTTTTTTGTTCTTATTTTATATATATATACACTGCATTTAGAGTAGAGTACATGTAGGTACATGTACATGTAGTTGCGGGTTTCGGCTTGCGCATGCGCGGTCATGGTGTGTCACTCGGCGGTTATGTACAGGTACAGGTACATATGTATGTACCCTTCTGGTCCGGCCGGATACAAGCTGCTCGCGGCGGTTGTTTGGAGCACACGTAGCGCGCGCGCGCGTCCCAGACAGTCCAGTAGTGGGGGGGGGGAGGCAGAACACCGACCGGCGTAGAGTACATAACCCGCGCGTATACGCCGTGCTATTTATATTACATCGATGTACATACATAGAGTACATATCGATCGACCCGTAGTGCTCTACCCACCGGTACCGTACCCCGGCGGCGCCCTACGTAGAGTACTCTACATGTACATGTATGTACGGGCAGATCTGGTTTCGGGGTGAGACATGTATCATGTATTTATGTAACCGTGCGCGTGCGGGACCCATCAAGCCCCTCCCACCCCGAATTAACTTTTATTATCTATCTATACACGCCCTGAGGTACGGTCATGCCTTCTTACGCCATAGTATTAACTTTATGCGACCATTTTGTACCTGATAACAGAATTGGCATGACTTTTTCAAAAAAAAAAAAAAAGAAAGAAAAAAAAGATACGGTTATACCTGAAAACACCATATGTTAGCGGCGTTTTACCCAAACCAGGTACCACGCTGCCAGTGGCCCCTAGCCCGTTCAATTAATGAATTAAACAAATAAAATAAACCCCCCCCCCCCCCGCCCAGCCCGTTCCATCACTTATTACCTCCGCTGTGCCCGCCGGTGCCGGAAAGTGATGCAACGTTTAGCCTAGCAACGCGGAAAGGCACTCAGAACTTCAAATTTTTAAACACACCACAATGCTTATAAAGCAGGATGTCTTAGCCCATACACATGCTATCTAAGTCTCTAGAGTAGAGTCTGCATCTTTCCAAGCCATTGATTTGGGGGGGGTTTTAGCCTGAAAAGGGGATAACTTGTGGCAAGTGACCGTGATAGAAAGTAGAAGCAATAGCGATCCGTATTTAACTCTTACCATAACTACATACATGTATCATTCATCCCTAGCTTCTAAATTGCTATGCACTCCGTTGGCTAGTCTGGCTGCTGAGGAATAACGGACTATTTGACCGTTGCACCACGTTCCGGCACCCCCCCCCCCTCCCCCCGGGGTACATTACATAGTCACGGACTATATTATTGTTTTTGAATCCCAACTCTAGCACATGTAACATCCACTCCACGGGTACGCCACGCCACGCCACGCCACCGCCACGGTCACTGCCCACTGACATTTAAAAACTAACCCACAAACACTTTTGCAGAGTGGCTGTACATACATGTACTTACGGGCCGAAAGGGGAAGCTAGCCAGTCTTCTATATAATAGTATGCATAATCCCCCCCCTCCCCCCTTTCGCCAGGTGTGCTTGTATGGATGTGTGTGCCTCTGCCAGACACAGATCCTACATGTACATACATGTAGTCTCTTGTTGGTGGCTCTTTCTTCTCTTCTTTTCTTTTCTTTTCTTTTTTTGTGTAAGGGGGCAAGGTCGAGTGATATTTCATGAAGAAAATCTACGGCCTTTTCTTCTTTTTTCTTCTCGTTCCGTCCGTTGATTGCATAGAACCTTTCCGGCTGATTCAAGGGGGGTGTTTGTGCATTGTGGGACGGATCGTGGAGGGAGTATCGTGTTACTAGACGCGGTGTATCATCCCGTGTGTTGTGGCCCCGGCCGTGGCTAAAATGTTGTACGGCAGGTAGACCAAGTGGTATGGCTAGAGGCCATTCGGACTCGGGATGAGCACGAGACCGCTTTCTCCAGCTTTTCTCCCCACTTCCCCCACATGAATACACTCCCCCCCCCAAAAAAAACAGCCAGTCTTGCCCTGGGCAACCTTTACCTTTCCGTTCCAGAAATAAAATCGGGATAAAAAGAAAAAATATTTGAAATTTGCTTTGCTAGGGAATCGAACCCAGTAACCTGCTGTCGGCGTAAGTTTCCTAACCAGGTGCATAGACCACTATACTAACAAAGCTTGAAAGACACTGTGCCTGGGAGGATGGTAAAGATGGATTTTGTGTTAGTTACATAGTAGTATTATTTCAGAGCTTCCCCAGCCCTAAGATTGTGTCACATGACGAAAAGTTTCGACGCTTTGGCGGGGTTTCTGGGTGAGCCATTGCATCGATTTGCAAGACCCACTTTGAAGGATACAACAGGAGAGGGTACGAAGTACCTTCCTGAGCCTCCTCTCATTCCGTCTCGTGCCGCCCATCACTATGTGCCAGGCTTTACTTTACGGTTGAGAACTATTCTAGCAGTGCTCAAGTTCATGAAGCCTTGGGCTTATCCTCATCACTACATGTCTTTCTCTGGGGTACAATCGGGGTAATACGGGGGCTATGCCTTACTTGCTCTCGTCGGCACCAGGTGAGGGGGTGAAGTTCGTGCCCTAAATTTCCCCCACTAGCCTCACTCTTCGTTCATATTACCACCGCAATCTCTCGACTAGCATACATGCGCCCCAATTTTGGAAGGGTAATAAAAACACCCGAACCCGAAAAGCTGGCATTTGAGTCCCAACGTCGGCTACAGTGAGTAAACTCGTAGCTGGCGAGCAGTAACTGGGTTGCAGGCTGATGATGGCAGGACAAGGATGCATCTGGACCTAGACAAGCTTTGTCGGTACGTTGATAAATATGGGGGAGAGGTGGGGGGGAGGGGGAGGGGGGAAGGGGTGACACTGTGTACATGGAGTTAGTACATGTAGGTTTGGGGCGGGAAGGGTGGATCTGAAGTGTGGTGACTGGCGTACATGTAGTTTTACTACTGACACACAAATCTATGTATCCCATTAGAAAGTAAATCGGTGTTGGTGTTACATGTAGTCCGGGCAGAGGGGTGTACGTACGTTGGCTAAGTGCGCGAAGCAGTTCTCTTGGCGCGCGAGTGACATTGTGTGACGCAAATAAGGTTTGTTTTATACAACATCCTTGGCAGAAACCTTAACTAGACCACCGTTGACATCCCAACTTGCCAACACTAGTTTCTTCTCAGTGCTACTCACGTTCATCATCACTTCTACCTTTCTCTTCTTACGCATGCATGGAAAACTACAGCTTTGGTGCACCTGTGCCCAGGCACGCGGGGGCTCATCGCGAAACAAACATGGCATTCTTCCACGACTTACTAACAAACCCTCTCCACAGCAGCAATTTCTTTTCAAGAGGGTATCCAGATGCCATCTAACCAACAAGTCTTATATTGGTTATTCATGCAACATCACTAGCACACATCACAGACGCCGGCATGCTGGTGGAGCAGGGTGGTGTGTATTTGCTCTTCCTGTACAACATCGCGGGCTTCGGTTTCCCTGGGTGCTTTCTCGAGATAGCTTCTACCGGAGAGGAGGAAAACTTCACTTCATTTTACTTTGCAGGTGCAACAGATGCGGTAAAGACATATCAACACGGCAGGACAAAACTATTGCCTGAAGTCTACCCATTGTATATTGCACGTTGAGCCTTCTCAAGCATCTATTCATATGAGCTGCCAGAGTATCAGATAGAGGTCTTCTCTCCGGCGGTCTCCTCTCCGGAGAGGGGAATTGAAGACTGTACGCAGGTCAAGATTTTCACTTCTTGTATACTGGCCCAGCCGCTTCAAATTAGGTCATTCTGAGCTCAAGCTATTATGCAAAAGAACAGATCTGGAAGATGTGCCGGGGTACAAGCACTGCAATTCCGCAAAAGGGGCAAGAAAAAGAACTGATTCGGGCCGGACCTAGGCTTCCATTCTCACACCTTTTTTCCCCCTCCCTCATGGGAGACACAACCGGGCCATATAGCTTCATATGCCAGATAGACCTAACTATAAACTAGATTTAGCAACTACTATTTTCTTACGAAGACCGAAGATTGCTTCGTGAATGGAGAGGCCGGATCGTGTAGCTTGGCGATGCCTTCGATTTTCGAGAGAGTAGGAGCTGCCTGTGGTCTATTTCATAATCACTTATCAACCTTCTCACCTGGTTAAAGCGCGCCACGCTTTATAGTGAGGAGTGGCTTTATACTGATGCTGAACGGAGCAGGTTAGGAGGGGGGTGATTACGGGGTGATTTGGACCATGAAAGATCACTCGAAAAAATCTAGCAAAAGGATTATTGCTTCCTTGTTGGTCTAGTTTTCCACCCAATCGAAACACTGATTCTACTAGTGATAATATAGCCAAGAGTTTGGGCCGGTTAATTCTGACAACAAGTGAGCGCCTGAGACTTTGGCTATTTTTATGAAGGATATCACCCGCCTCAAGAATTTTATCAACTGCATACTACTATAGTCAGATCCAGAAATCATAAAAACCGCCCAGTAACTAACTTTATTGACAACAAACAAAAACAAAAGTATATACACATAGCCCATCCATCATCTATTTTGCACAGCAGCCCTTCTGCTCAAATGCTAACTGACTATTCCCATCCCCCGTGGCAGTGCCCGCTTTCCCCGCCGCCACCTGACTCGGTACCGACACATAACTCGGCGGCACATCTAGCGCAGGATTCCTCAAAAAGAAATGACGCGGCCTCAACAGCAAACTCATCGGCTCGGCGGGCATAATAGGGAAGTCTTCTGGGGCCGGAAAGTGTGTAAGGCCGAATGTATGCCAGATGACAATGTCCTCGTTATCAATACTGGCAGTTCCATCGCCGATCCACGTTGGTAGACCCATTGAGGGCTCTCCTGAGGTCTGTGGGACGTGGCGGCCGGCAGGGTGTATTTGGTTGTCGGCGTCTAGTAGTCTGTGTCAGATGGAGCTTTATATTCACAGAGAGCAAGGGTAGGCGGGCATACATTTAGTGACATGTATAGCATGTCTTGCGAACCCAGCCCGTTTCCATACTAATCCGCCTTCCTTCACTAGTAATGGCGGAATCTCCCTCGAGACAAGTTTGTAACTCGGGAACTTCCCCGAATACGGATGTGTCTTGTTAGTATTACAGATATCCCACGTCCTCGAAGTACTGGCGTCGTAGTCCGAAAATGACTCGCCCACAGTCGAGTACTTTGTCTTCTTCGCATAGAACGCATTTCCATACTTGTTTTCGGCGCTGCCTACCTCGCCCTCGCCGCGGGTTGCATCAACTTGGAACACTGTGTTCTTCTGCCCATCAATCATGGGATCAATCCTGAGGCAGAACAAGTGCTGATGGTTATGCGCATTTACTCCGGGGTGCACCTGGGTGCCCCAGCCTTTAGTATCCTCCTCGGGCGCCATGGCGTAGGTGTTGAGGATGCCCGTAAGCTTGATCTCGAGCTGGATGGTGCCGTCCTGGTGCAGGTTCCAGTAGACGCAGTACTCGTAGTTTGCAGCAGTGAAGATGTGCGAGATGACGAGCTTGCGACCGCGAGTGACAATCACCGAGTTGTCGCGGAAGTCGGTGTGCTTGAAGAGGATTCCCGAGTCTTCTTCGTGGATGCAGATGGCGTTAGGAATTGTGGCGGGTATACCGGCGGTGGTGATGAAGGATGCGTCCATGTAGTGGATCACACCTTTGCAGTCGCATCCAAGGCTGAGAATCATATATTTAGCCATATACATGTATTGGAAGTCAAAGCCGAACAGGGAAGGGAGGTATTACCTGAGTGAGTTGGTCATATACCCGCCGCCATACTCTCCCAGATCAAATGCATGTTTCCTATGATGCGGGTGCTCCGGATTCCCATACGGGACCACCATCTCCGCCAACGACAGTCTCCAAAACAGCGGTCTGACTACCCCACCATCATTATACGTCACATTATTGAGAACAATCCCCTCCTTGTGACTGAAGCCCACATGGAGCTTAAACTTCTGCCACTCAATGACCCGCCCCTGCACCTTGAACGACACGCCCTCAGGCTGCGTGATATTGATCGGCTTCACGTCGGTCCTGTAGGCGGCGGGGTCGAGGTTGTAGTTGCTGGCGATGGTGTTGATAGGTCGTCGCACGGCAGGGATATCGATATCGACCACCTCGCCCGTGATGGTATTGATGATTGGACAAAAGTCGAGTGGGAAGGCGTATTGCATGTCATCTAGATTGGGGCGGTAGTAGGGGAGGGCTTGCTGGAGGCGGATCTTGTTGCTGAAGCGCTCGTCATAGCCAATTGTCCATGCTTTAATTAGAGATTCAATTGTTAGACATATAGGTAATATCGTAAGCTGCACAGGGGGATACAAGCTTACCATCACAGTAGACCTTATCCATGTCCTTCTCTGGAATCCCCAGAATTTTGCATTGTTCGATCACCCTGCGATTAGTCCTAAGGATCTTCTCAGTTCCTTGCAAGTCCTCCACCGTGAGCTACACATCCACCACTAATCAGCCATTTCCCCTCTCAATTACCACCATATCTGTAGAGCTAGAATACCACTTACCATAGGCTGCACCCCCGTCAACCTCTCCCACGCCTTGATCACCCCATTCGTCAGGTCCACAATCCCATCACACAAATATCCATCTCCTACCACCACGACCTCCGCCTCCCTTAACGGCCTCGGCTCCACCTCGGGGGCCTCAAGCCATGCCAACATCTCCACCTTCTTCGGCTCCGAGAGACACACCGTGTTGTAGCGGAGCTTGGGGCCATGGGTTTTCGACACGATTGACACCGCGTACTCGATCTCGAGCTCGGAGAGCGGGTCGAGAGGGTGTGGCTGCGGTGTGTCGGGCTTGAAGAGGTGGTCCCGGATCTGCTGGAGTCGATCGAGCATTGTTGCGATTGATTGGGTTTTAATTGATGGGGAAAGGAAAGGCGAATTAGGAGGTGTTTATGTAGGTATATTTGTATATCTGTGGGGAGCTCTGGTATATATACTAAGATGCGTCGGTACCATATCGTATCGTGTGCCGGTAAGCTGACTGCATGTATCAATGATCGTTTGTAAACTTTATTGTCTGTGATTGGTGATAAGCCCCATAGCCGATAACGCACACTACTAAGTTATCATATCGCAGCTCTTATCGCAGCGGCGGGATCCTGTTGGGCTACCGTC